AATTATATGTTGTGTTTTATATGAACAAAAAGTGTGGCAACAACCACTTAAGTATGCCAAATACCAGGAACATTTATTACAGAAAACCTTTTTACTGCCTGATGTGTTATTTTACTTGTTTACTAGCACACTGGTTAACCCTTATATTGCGTTTCAAGTAGGGGTGTACAATATGGTAAAAACATGAGATATGGGTGTTGAATATTGCAATATCCGAGTTGGGTTCGCATTACCGGCAGTAAGTCGGATTCATTTCCAGCGAGGGTTGAACTCCGCCAATGCTGCTCTTTGACACCAATTCTGTTCAGAACCTTTATGGACAGAATTTCTCAGCGCAGCCAAAGTGTTGAGGGTGTCCAATTTAATGGTTTCAGTACTACATCTCTGCTTTTTGCAGATGATGTGGCACTGTTGGCTTCTTCAAGCACATCTTCAACTTTCACTGGAGCGGTTCGCAGTCAAGTGTGAAGCGGCTGGGATGAAAATCAGCACCTCCAAATCTGAGACCATGGTCTTCAGTCGGAAAAGGGTGGAGTGCCCTCTCCAGGTTGGGGTTGAGCCCTGCCTCAAGTGGTGGACTTCAAGTATCTTGGGTTCTTGTTCACGAGTGATGGCAGGTTGGAGCGGGAGATCGACAGGTGCATTGGTGCAGCATCTGCATTGATGCAGACTCTGTAGCAGTCCATCGTGGTGAAGAGGAAGCTGAGCCGAAAGCCAAAGCTCTCGATTCACCAGTCGATCTACGTTCCTACCCTTACCTATGGTCATGAACTGTAGGTTGTGAACAAAAAAATAAAATCTCGGTTACAAACTGCCAAAATGAGTTTCCTCCGCAGGGAGTCCAGAATCTCGGCTATCCGGGAAGTGCTCAGAGTCGAGCCACTGCTCCTCGGTATTGAGAGGAGCCAGATGAGGTGGCTCAGGCATCTTGTCAGGATGCCACCTGGACACGGCCATGGTACGGTGCTCAGGTCATGTCACACTGGGAGGAAGACCAGGCCAACCCAGGACAAGCAGGAGATACTATTGGTCTGGGGTGGAGTAGGAACATCTCTCGATTCCCCAAGAGGACAAAGTAGCTAGGGAGAGGGAAGTTTGAGCTTCGCTACTTAAGCTGCTGTCCCTGTGACCCGACCTTGGAAAAGTGGAAGAGAATGAATGAATGAATAAACCTCATGAAATTTATTTTAGAAATGAGCAAGTTGTGACTTATTTTCAGTGGTGATCCATTGCCGTTGATGGGAACAATTCCCCGGCATTGAAAGAGTGAAGTATTTTTCATCCATAAAGTTGGAGGGTCTAATGGTTTTCTACATTGTTATAAATGTTGCAAATAGGCCAGAATCAACATTTTCTATAAAGAAGCCAACAGTTAAGACTTGAAAAACAATGGGAAACTGTCTCCCCCACCTCTCACAAATATGATTCCTGTTTTTTTAAGAAAAACAAAGTAGTGACATCACTGTGACATCATAGTGTTTATTTTGTCACGGTTAACAAAGCAGCTGCAGAGCCACTAAGACCTTGTGTAACTGGAACAATTCCCACTGACAAGTTAACATTTGCATGTAAAATTCCCCTTTTGGTTGTGATTTCAGCATCACAGACCTTGAACAATATTGGTTGCCAGCAAGACACAAGGGCCCTTTGAATGGACAAAGAGAGAGAGAGAGTCAGAAATTGTGTACATATACACTGTAGGCTATAAATCTATATGAATGTGTGGGGTTGATTTTCCATTAAGTGAGTTGCAGCACAGAGTGGGGGACAGGACTTATACACACAGCCTGCTGGGTTTGAATACTAGAGACACTGTAGCCAGCACTTCAAACTGCCCCGAGCACAGCCGGCACAGCCTCTTTGTTCAACAGTTCTGAAAAGCTGTTGCTGAGCCAAACGTTATGGCCTCCAAAGACTTATCTGGCAACCAACCAACTTACCAACCGAATAAGGCTGATGCCCCTATCAGCATGTGATACTCACTTTCGCAACACTAGAAACACACATCAAATAAAGGAGACCAAATAAACAGAATCGAAAGAGCAGCTACATGATCTTTCTCCAGAAAACATCTGCCTCTGGATGTGAAGACCTGGCCAGTGTCAGCAGTTCACATGAATGGCAATCAATTTGGGCTCTTTCCCTCCCTTTGGTATTATTTATACCTGTTAATGCTTTCCTGACCGCACTTGGATGCAGGCCCAATTGCCTCATATTCAAGGTATTTACACAGCAGAAAGAGCTAAGCACAACATTAAAAGCAAAAGGGCATTCCGAATGTCATGCTAGTTTATTTTTGCTTCAGGTTTTGTGCTCCCATTTCCACTGTGGTTAGTGAACTATTGCATCTTTATTTATTTACTCTCTGTAGTTACAAGAAAAAGTATATAAAACCTTTGGAAAGACCTGGATTGCTACATAACTTTGTAATAAAATGCAATCCGTTCATCTAAGTCAGGTCACTGAGATGTTACACTTTTTTCTTCAAGGTGCTCTTGTTTTGGGGACAACGGAAACTCTCTTCAAATCAACGTCGGGCTTTCTTATGTTTGTACACATACATGGCGTCATCCATGCCTGCACTGCCACTGCACCTACCCATACAGCTTTCTGTGGGGTGCAGAACACTGAGCGCGCGATGCACCTTCAGGTCTGGTATGCCTTTGCTGTAGTGTTCAAAGTGTTCACAGTTCATATAATTGCATAACGATGAATATCTAATGTTACCTTCATTAACATGTCAAGTACTAGTTTTTGTCAGGGTGCAGCAGTGGGGTTGAGGCAGTGTGTATGTGAGGGTAAGCGGGTGTAGGGGGAAGGGCAGTGATCGCCAACCTTCTTCCCGCCACGGTCTGGTTCATGATGAGACTAATATTTTGTTGAATGGCAACTGTGCGTTACATTCCTGCCATGGTGATAACGTCCATTTGAGGATTTTATGTTCCACTATATAATATTCTATTTATGGTGTTAAAATTTATTTGTATGGCCCATAAACCATTACTGGTCTGTAGGCCAGTGGTTGGGAGACCACTGTAGTAGGGGGGCAGTGCCCCAGTCGAGCGTCATGCCTTGCAACACTACTCGTATAAGTCACAACCGCCTTTTAAATGAGTGCAGAACAGTAAAGAACGTGTACAGGCAGTGTTCAAATATAGCCTTTGAATAGGTTCTGTCCTGTATGTGCAGTGGAACCCCACATATTCCTCCCAATATTTTCTAAATATTTTTCAAGAGATATTTTTTGGGTTCGGGCAACCAGAAAATGGTTATTGATGGTATCACTGCTTATTCAAGATTCGAGGAAGGGGGCAAACACTTTTTGGTATTTGTTTAATGATACAGTGTTTTACATATGATCTCTTGTTCAATGTGTCAGTTTTACAGTAAACTTCAACTTGGAGTGACAAACAACGAAAAGCAAGCACATTTACTTTCTGAAGAAATGTGTCAGAGACAATGAATTTGTTTTTCTTATTTGATAACAGTTTGCCTTTTCAGACCGAGAACAGGTGCTAATCTGCTTTAAATCTGTTTAAATGTGTTTAAAGTGTGTGTGGGTGAAACCGTTTTTTTTTTTTTTTTAATATGGACTACATCATAGGTTTTCACTATTGCGATGAAGGAGTTCTCTGTGCTAGCTATGGTTAATGATCTAACTGATTTTCTATTATTTCTGGGTGTCACAGTTGCTTGTTATTCACCCATAGACAGCTCACTTGTTTTCATGTTGGTTACATGTCTAACTAGTATAAATATATTCTTCATGGGAAAAACCCGCAGCTGAGCATAGACATGCAATTCCATTTCTTATTTATGCAGCATATATACAATATATAATATCACACAAAGATTTTTGAATACTAATCAGATGAGCCGTTAAGTAACACATCAGTAAACCACCTGTGACCTCAGCGTACCTCATACACTCGTAAGCTCAACGTACCTCAGACACTCAGACAACTTCAGTTCAGCAGGTAAGATGCTTAAATATACTGTATATTGCCAGCATAGTTAATTATAGCATCATGATCATCACAGGTTGACAGATTATTTATACTTTCTGAATGAAAAGATGTTTTGAAGATCCAATGAAATCATAGATCAGTATGTATACCACCACTGACTACATTGGCCCACGGATGTCAAAGTACAAAGAAAAAGCGCTGAGGCAAACAAAAACAATCTGAAATGGCTCTAAATGTACTGTATGGATAAAAAAAAATTATGTTGGAAAGACTTTGTGTTAGCACAAAAAAAAGGGGCGGGGGCAAAAGGCTTTTTTGATTTGCATCTTTTAACAGGCAGACAACTAAAGTTTGAAGTAGTCACCACAAGGATCCATGCTGAAGTGTTCGTGTGTGTGTGTGTGTGTGTGTGTGTGTGTGTGTGTGTGGGGGGGGGGGGGGGCTGATGCACAGCCAAATGCTTTTTTGTTTCAAGGCTTCCTGACAATTTACAGACATGGTCTTGACATTAATACCAACATTATAGCATGGCTCTATATTGAGAGGAGAGATTGAATTCTTGACGTAATTGTGGACAGCTCCATAACCATTAAAAAAAGGTTTCTGACACTGTTGATGACTGATTTATACTCTCATTTGTGGCTGGCCCAGCGGATGAAATTAAAACAAATTAAGATAATAAATGTGAGCACACATTTTGGTGTTTCTAACTTCATGCCCAGTGTTCATTATGCAGACAAAAGTAAAATGAAACATTAGGGCTTTCATTGAGGACCGTGGGAGGGGGGGGGGGCTTTAAAAATCCCTACTCTTGTACTTTCCACCATCAAAGCTGCTTGATGGGATTGAGGTCAGGAGCAAACCAAGTTCGTGCACACCAGACGTCCACCCACACGCCTGTTTCCTCAAATTGTTTCTCCATTTAGAAGGCATTTTGGGGTGTAACTCAAACCTGATTGATTCACTTCTCCAAATTGCATTGTGTCTTTCAATGCCTGTGTTTAAAAAAAAGTTCATATAAACGACACTTACTCTCAGAAGGATAGATGGGCTGCATTTCTATCTTGTGCACCTCCTTGGCGTAATACTCCTCCTCACTCCGCTGCCGCTCGCATGTTGCCGCCCGTTCATTGGCCTTCTCTTGCAGTAGGTCCCGTGTACTGTTATAAATGGCCACGATGTCCCTGGATACGTCCTCGGGCTCGGGGAAGTCCTCTGGAGGATTGGCGAGTTTAAGTTTGCTTAAGATCTGCCCTCGGACAGCCTCGATGCGCTTCTTCTTGAACTGCTCCATGTCCAATATGCTGCATGTCGACAAACTGAACGCCACGGAAACTAAATCCAAAATGAGGAGAAGGCTGACAAAGCACAGGTTCATCTTTTCCTCTCGGGCTGAAAGTTACACTAAAAAAAAAAAAAAAAAAAAGAACATTCACTATGGTGACTTAAAAGACATCAAGAATACACATTTTAAGGACAAAAATCTAAAGCTTCTGACCGCGTTTGCGCGCAAGAGTCATCAGCCTCTCAAATTTTTAAAATAAGTTTCATGAATAAAAGTGGGCTGGTTATCTGCTTTAGCTGAGAATTCATTCAAAGGTTCGAAAGCAACAGGTTCACGCTCATTTAACGGTGCTGTCGCATCTATTGTGCGTAAAAGTGCAGCCAAGTGTTGCCTGTATCAGTGTTAGGAGCCATGAAACTGGGCAAAAGTCTGGAACCGATAAAAAAGCAACAGTTATAGTTGGTGGACTGAGTTGTTTACCCGCAGGACTCAAGCACACTCTCACCGCATCAGAGGGCTCGGTTCATCGCAGCTTCCAAAACGGCACCGGGCGCAATTCTGCAGCCACGAGCCAGAGACGTCTATCGGCTTCAATGTCAAAATAAATGACCAATTCCTTAATGTGTAATCCCAAATTGTTTTGCTGAAAATTAAGTCGCCGTGTACCAGTCTCTTTCCACAGTTCAGTCGTGCGTTATGGTGATCTCCTCAATAAAATCCACACAGACGATAGTTGACGACGAAACCGTTACACCTTCCAGAAAACAGCTGATAATCTTCCTTCTGTGTGATGCAGTCTTTGCACGTCCTCTTCACCCCGACGACAGCTCGTCTCTAACGCGTGCCAGGCAGCGGACCTCTGTGGCCACTTCAATGATATTTATAAGGGACCCATAATACCACGTG